TCTGCCTGGCTTCACCATGTCTTTCCTTGCACATGTGTAGTCCAGCCTTTGACCAGGGTCTTATGAATAACTTCCATGGATTTCTAGATAGTAGCTCTAGCTTCTCTATACATTTTCCTCCAATTTCCAGGTGCTTCATCAGCTCTGAGCTTCAATCTCTGTCTCTTCAGCACAACATAAGTGCTTTGTTTATGTTTCTCCTCCCTGTGCAGTTATCAGGAAATTGTCTCCACTCTGATATTCTGGACTCATCTGTGTGGTACTTAGGGATTGCATTTGTGCTGCCTATTGTCCAGTGTCTAAAAACAATCACTTCATATATTTTGTCTAGTTTTATAGCTATTGCTATGAAACAGCACTCTGTCATGTTCAGAAGCCTAAATCTGGAAGAAATTGTCTTTGAAAATTATTTCTAAGATCACTGGTTCTCAAACTTTAGCATATATCATATTCACCTGGAGGACTTGTTAACACACAGATTGTTAGGTCCCACTTTTAGAATTTCTGGTTCAATAGGATTGAGTTGGGACCCAAAAATCTGAGTTTCTAACACGTGCCCAAATGACACTGATGCTGCTGGTTTGGGAACCACACTTTGAGAACCACTTGCTTAGAAAAAAGGATCTTAAGAAAAATATTGGAACTCATTTGGGACTTAATACACACAACTTTTTTCCTTTTTTTTTTTTTGTCTTGTGCCCTGAATAATAAATTTATATTTCAGTTGGTTTAGTATAATGATAGGAATCTCTTTCTTTTTATTCAAAGTGTGATTTTTTAAAATTTTTCCATTTTTTTCCCACTGAAAAAGATATCTTCTCCATTTAGTTGATAGTCACAGAGAGAATATATGAAAATAGAGATAAAATAATGCAATATTGTCATTCTTATTTTTTGTTTGCACAAATGAATTTTTAATCTAATATGAATTTTCTATAACAGCGGTTCTCAACCTGTGGGTCGCGACCCCTTTGGGGGTCGAATGACCCTTTCACAGGGGTCGCCTAAGACCATTGGAAAACACATATATAATTACATATTGTTTTTGTGATTAATCACTATTCTTTAATTAAGTTCAATTTGTAACAGTGAAATTGGGGATCACCACAACATGAGGAACTGTATTAAAGGGTCGCCGCATTAGGTTGAGAACCACTGTTCTAGAACATAGAATTTAATATTTCAGAAATAAGTAGTGAGAGAACCAAGATGGCGGCATAGGTAACCGCCTATACTTGCTGCCTCCCACAACCACATCAAAATTACAACTAAAATACAAAACAACAATCACCCAGAACCACGGGAAAGCTGGCTGAGTGGAAGTACTGCAACTAGAGAGGTAAAGAAGAAAGCTCATTGAGACTGGTTGGAGGTGCAGAGGCACAGAATGGGCTGGCCCGGCACCCTGGTGTGCCGCTTTTTTAATCGGGAGGGAGATCACCTCGGTGGAGGCTGCCTGGAGGAGCAAGGAGTCACAGCCCCACACCAGACGCCCAGACCAGGGTCCCAGAGCTGGGGAAAGCAGTCCCCATGGGCCCAGCCGTAAGGACTATAGACTGTAAAAACCAGTGCTGATTGGGGCTGAGTGACACACAGGCTGCTGGAGACCCAGCTGTTCCTATTAAAAGGCCAGCACCACAAACTGAATTTACAAGCTCCTACTTCCTCTGAGCTCCAGTGCCGGGCAAGGCTCTGGGGGACCCAGACACATACAGTGAGAAACTGGACTATTTGGTATCAGGGCAGGAACTCGGAGGTGGCTTTCTTCCAGACAAAGGTGCTTGCAGCGGTCATTGTTCCTGTGCTGGGACCTCCTAGGTTCAGGGCTGACTGGCAGCCATTTCTGTTTGCTCCACCCTGATGATTCCCTAAGACCCCGTCCTACCCAATTTACAACCCCACCCAAGCTGTGCACAGAGGCTTTTGCATAGAATGGTCTATTCTTTCTCAGGAGAAAACTCTGTTAAACAAGCTGTAGCTAGGTCAGGGAGCTGAAAACCTATCAATAAAAGGCCCCAAAAAACCAGCACCAGTACCAGCCTTCCTTGCTTCACAGCTGGGCCTCATTTGGCCACATCCAAACCCCATACAAAGAGCAGGAATCTGCAGGTCTCTCTGGAGCTCCTGCTGGGTGGCCCCAGGCAGTGGCTGATTTTGCATCTCCCTGCAGACCCAAGAGCCAGTGTACCAGTGGTCAGTGTGAGACCATACCAGGTTACAACTCTTCACATCCATAAGCAACATATTCAAGGAGCAGATTCAGTGAGCAACAAAGCCCCAATGAAACAAGTCCTGCTTCATAGGGGTGTCTCCTGCATAGAAGCTCTCCCACTATAGTTGCAGCTGGTCCCCACAGCCAATTGGCCTGGAGGTCAGTTCCTCTCAGTGACACCAACAGCAATCAAGGCTCAACTACAACAACACTGTGCATACAGCCTACAAACGGATGCACTAAGAGTGTCCACCTCATGTGATTGGGGAGGCTGAGCCACTGGGCCTTATAGGACAGTTGTTCTCAACCTTCTGGCCCTTTAAATACAGTTCCTCATGTTGTGACCCAACCATAAAATTATTTTCGTTGCTACTTCATAACTGCAATGTTGCTACTGTTACGAATCGTAATGTAAACATCTGATATGCAGGATGGTCTTAGGCGACCCCTGTGAAAGGGTCGTTTGACTGCCAAAGGGGTCGCAATTCACAGGTTGAGAACCGCTGTTATAGGACACCTACTACACAAGGCCACTCTATCAACTCAAGGAGACTTAGCAGCTACCCAGTGGATAGAAACAAACACAGGGAAGCAGCCAAAATGCCGAGACAAAGAAACAAATGAAAGAAATGGAAGAAAGAAAATGACTGGATATAAAGTTCAAAACCACAGTTATAAGGTTACTCAAGAATCTTCTAGAAAACTCTGAGGAACTTAGTGAGACTTTCAAGGATCTTAGTGAGAATGGCAAAAAAAAAAAAAAAAAATGGAAAAGGACCAGTTAGAAATTAAGCATACACTGACTGAAATAAAGAATAATATGCAGGGATTCAACAGTAGATTAGAGGATCCCAAAAATAAAATCGATTTGAAATGCGAGGAAGCAAAAAACAACCAACCAGAAGAAAAAAAAAAGAATCCAAAAATATGAAGATAGTGTAAAGAGCCTCTGGGAACACTTCAAGCATACCAACATCCGAATTATGGGGGTACCAGAAGAAGAAAGAAAGCAAGATACTGAAAACCTATTGGAAGAAATAATGACAGAAAACTTCCCCTATCTGGTGAAAGAAATAGGCTTACAAGTCCAAGAAGCACAGATAACCCCAAACAAGAGGAATCCAAAGAGGACCACACCAAGACACATCATAATTAAAATGCCAAGGGCAAAAGACAAAGAGAGAATCTTAAAAGCAGCAAAAGAAGTTAGTTACCCAAAGGGGAATGCCCATACGACTGTCAGCTGATTTCTCAACAGAAACTATGCAGGCCAGAAGGGAGTGGCAAGAAATATTCAAAGTGATGAATAGCAAGAACCTATAACCGAGAATACTCTACCCAGCAAAGCTATCATTCAGAATTGAAGGTCAGATAAAGAGCTTCACAGACAAGAAAAAGCTAAAGGAGTTCATCACCACCAAACCAGGATTATATGAAATGCTGAAGGGTATTCTTTAAGAAGAGGAAGAAGAAAAGGGTAAAGATAAAAAATATGAACAACAAAGTGACAACAAATACATATCTATCAACAAGTGAATCTAAAAATCAAATGAATAAAATATCGGATGAACAGAATAAACTGTTGAATATAATAGAATCAGGGCTATGGAAATGGAACAGACTGATGATTCTCAGAGGGTAAAGGGTGTGGGGGGTGCAAGAAGAGATTAGACAAAGATCTTATATGCATGTATGCATTACCTATGGACACAGACAATAGGGTGCTGAGGGCCTGGGGTGGGGTGAGAACCAGGTGGAGGGGAGCTATATAAAGTTCAAAGAGGAACATCTGTAATAATCTCAACAATAAAGTTGTTTTTTTTTTAAGTGAAAAGAGCCCTAGCCGGTTTGGCTCAGTGGATGGAGTGTCAGCCTGTGGACTGAAGGGTCCCAGGTTCGATTCCGGTCACGGGCATGTACCTTGGTTGCGGGCACATCCCCAGTAGGGAGTGTGCAGGAGGCAGCTGATTGATGTTTCTAACTCTCTATCCCCCTCCCTTCCTCTCTGTAAAAAAAATCAATAAAATATATTTAAAAAAAATAAAAAGAAAAGTGAAAAGAAAATAAGTATTGATTTTTTGTTTCACAAATTGGACTTTATTTTAATCTTATTCTCAGACTTGTATGTATGTGTCATGGGTGTGTGTGTGTGTGTGTGTGTGTGTGTGTGTCATGTGTATTTTATAGTTAAGATGCATACATGGATAACCAAAAAGATTGGTGGACCTGGGCCCAATCTCTTTCTCGGGTTTTCTGAAAGCTTACACATTGTTTTATAATAGCTATTAGATAGCTACCAATCCTTCTACCTCAGTAGCACATTTTATCAGCTCTCTTTGCCTCCATTGTTCCATTTTTTTAGGATTTTGAAATGCATTGCTTCCTTTTATTCTAATCTATTCACCTACCGTCTGCATATGGCTTGTTACTAATGTCAGGTGGTGACTCTTATTGATGATGCTGACATGGTTCTTTCAGTGGCTACCAGCACAGAGAATATGCTTACAATATTTCTTAGTTGGTAAAATGGATTGATCTTATTTCTTCAAGTTCTAATCAATCCTGTAGATTTTTTTGTTTACCAATATCTTTAAATTCTTTGGGGGCGGGGGAGGCTCAATAGCCTTTGGTTGCTAGAGCAGAAGGCTATTTTATAGTACATTTTAAATACAGTTTCAGCTCTAATGTGTGTTTAATAAAATTTCATTCTCAATTTTGGATATCTTTTTTCCAATATTTTGATATTGGGGATAGTGAAATTAATTACTAAATACTAATTATTCAACAGGTCCATTTTGATGGCTGGGACCACAAATACGACTATTGGATGGATGTAGACAGCCCTGACATTCACCCAATTGGATGGTGTGACGTAACAGGGCATCCACTAGAAGTGCCATATCGTGAGTATTTTGTCTTTGTTTTTGCTTTTAAAATACTTAGTCTGAATTCCTACTTTACTGCTGTTTTTTCCATGTTATTATAAATACTTGAAAGCTAAATGTAGATAGATGAATTGATTAATCATCACTAGAGATACACTGAAAGCCATTTACTGGCAATTAAGCTTCATGCTTCATATAAATGAAAAGCTATAATCATTAAGAAATTCTTTTGATGGTATTATCTAAAAGAATCTTCAGCCCAGCTGGCTTGGCTCAGTGGTGAGTATCGACCTATAAACCAGGAGGTCATGGTTCAATTCCCCGTCAGGGTACATTCCCAGTTTGCAGGCTCAATCCCCAGTGTGGGCTGTGCAGGAGGCTGCCAACCAATGATTCTCTCATCATTGATGTTTCTATCTCTCTCTCTCTCTTTTCCTCTCTGAATAAAAAAATATATATATGTATTTGATAAATAAATAAATAAATAAAAGTATCTTCATTTTTTATATTTTAGTTTGGAAAACAGAGCCAGGCTTAAATCCATCTAATTTTGACCATTGCTTTTAACTGAAGTATGTTTTGTTTTTTTAAAAATTCCATCTTAATTTCATTTATAGAATAGATTTTAAAATGTTTTAGACAAAACAAATATTTTAAATTTCAGCAATTAAAAATAGTTGTAAAAATTTTATACAACCTCTCTTTTATTGCTATGTTTACTATTTCTGTCTTTCAGGCCACTTAAAGTTAAGGAGGAAATTAACCACTCTAAATTCTAATGAACCTTATCTTATTCTTTTGTCTGAAGGATTCTTCTGATCAGAATAGGCTGTCGTGACTAACAACCAGTTTTAGGCCCATGTGCAAGCAGCTGCATTGTTGTGTGTTTTGTTTGCTCACTGCTTCTGTTGCTCTCCTTTTGGCTTCTTGGGATGAAGCTAGCAAGTTTTTCTGTTAATGAAGATACCTTACATTGAGCCAACCCAATGATGCTTGAACCTTAATTCCGAAAGGACTACATTTTTGAAAGAATTCCTTAACTTCTTGTAGAAATGAGAAGAGTCCCTGAAAATATGGCAAGCATTTTTACATTTGCTAGATTCTTCCAAAGCCACAAAGCCAATATGGTACAGGTACTTATGTAAGTTGCAGTGCTTTGTCAAGCACAGGGTCTGTACACAGAGTGTAACGCAGGGAGTCATGCTCAGTACCATGCTGGGAGAAGAGTAGAAGCATTTGTGCTTTGTGGTTACTTTTTCCCTGCTTTGTATTTTCCCAGATTTCATACCCCAGCATGCTGGGAAATGGTCTCACTTTATGGTGTCCCCCTCCCCGATACCCACATGCACACCTCAGTCTCTCATTCCAGTAACTTTCTTAAGTAGGAATGATTTCAACAGGGGTAGAGATAGATCAGCATTTCAGGTATAGGGGCAGCTCTCTTTACTCATTGCCTGTTCCTTTGCCAAGCTGCTTAATGGACTTCTTGACTTGAATGTCTCATAAGTATCCTGAAGCCTATGGATGCTTATCTCAAATGTGAATATTATCCCAAACCAAAACTTCTTTTTCTGTTGTTGTTCCTACTTGCTTCCAAATCTCCTACTTCTTATTCAAAATCATTCTGGTCTCTGCCCCATCCTTACCCCTTCATCACCCCACACATACAACCAGTCATTACTTTTTGCTGGTACTCTTTTTTGATTTCTCTAGAATCCATCTTTGACCTGCACTCCTCCCTTCCAACACCATTGCACTATTTGCACCCTTATCATAGTTAGAAATGAGTGTATGGATGAGTTTCACAGATCATCCTGAATAGCCTAGAATGGATCTAAAAATTCAAGTTCTGGAGGCAACATAGCCTAGTCATTAAAAGTGTGAAATGTCGAGTCTGAATGCTTGGGTTTGAATGTCAGTTTTACTGCTTGCTGAGCGTGTGTCTCTCTGTGCCTCACCTATAAAATGAAGGTGATATTAGTATGTCTATTCCATATCCTATGTAATAAAAGTATAATATGCTAAGTGTCCAGTCCTCCGTTCAACCAATCAAAGCATAATATGCTAATGACATGCTAAGGACACTCAATCAATGGCTATGACATGCACTGACCAACAGGGGGCAGATGCTACAACTGGTAGGTTAGCTTGCTGCTGGGGTTTGGCTGATTGGGACTGAACAAGATGGGCTGGACATGCCCTAGAGTCCTCCCGTGATCCCTCCCTGGCTGGCCAACCTCCCACATCCCTCCCCATCCCTGATCCTGCACTGGTGGGGTCCCTTGGCCTAGCCTGTGCCCTCTCACACTGAAGGAACCCCCCCTCCAGTGCACAAATTTTGTGCACCAGGCCTCTAGTATCCTATCTAATAATAGACAAACATGGTAATTAACCAAAACTTCACTACCCTTCCCATTGGCTAATCAGGGCAATATGCAAATTAACTGCCAACCAAGATGGCGGCCGGCAGCCACGCAGCTGAAGCGAATATGAGGCTTGCATGCTCCAGTGTCGGAGGAAGCCAAGGTTCCCCGCCTGCTGCAGCCCAGCTCTGAGCTCCAGATGCAACAATGTTGCAATTATAGAAGCTAAACAAACCCAGAAACCTGCTTTCAGCCGCCAGCGGACTCAGAGCTGAGAGCGCCAGTGATGGCAACAGAGTTTCAATTATAGAACCCAAACAAACCCAGATACCTGCTTTCAGCCAGCCACAGCCTCAGAGCTGGAGCCAGCTCTCAGCTCCAGTGACAGCTATAGAAGGTAAATAAATCCCAGAATAAAAAAAAAAGAAAAAAAAAGAGGCTGGGAGCTTCAGTCACCCGCCAGCCTGAAAACGGCACTCAGCCCCTCACCCAGACTGGCCAAGCACCCCAGTGGGGACCCCCACCTTGAAGGGGGTGTGACCCGCTGCAAACAGCCATCAGCCCGTCATCCAGGCTGGTCAGGCACCCAAGCGGGACCCCCACCCTGATCCGGGACACCCTTCAGGGAAAACCAGCCGGCCCCCACCCATGCACCAGGCCTCTATCCTATATAGTAAAAGGGTAATATGCAAACTGACCCTGACAGCAGAAAGACTGGGAATGACTGGTCACTATGACACACACTCACCACCAGGGGGCAGACACTCAATGCAGAAGCTGCCCTCTGGTGGTCAGTCGCTCTCACAGCGGGGTGCTCTGCTCAGCCACAAGCCAGGCTGATGGCTGCCAGTACAGTGGTGGTGGTGGGAGCCTCTCCTGCCGCCTCAGCAGCGCTAAGATGTCCGACTGCAGTTTAGGCCTGCTCCCCGCTGGCAAGTGGACATCCACTGAGGGCTGCCGGGCTGCCAGAGGGATGTCTGATTGCCATCTTAGGCCCAATACCCCGGGGAGTGGGCCTAAGCCAGCAGGTGGTCACCCCCGAGGGATCCCAGACTGCGAGAGGGCACAGGCCGGGCTGAGGGACCCCTTATCCCCGAGTGCACAAATTTTTGTGCACCAGGCCTCTAGTTTATAATAATGAAATAGGGTAAATATATGCATAACATCTTAAAGACTACCTGACCCATAGTATGTGCTCAATTAATGCTAGCTGCTTTCAGCAAATTGCATAACATTCTATAGATTTTCATTTTTATATACAACTGTAAAATATTAAGGATTACAACATTCAAAATTGTGCTAAAATTAGTTTCTGAGTGGAGTTTCCAAAATATTTTACTTCAGTTTTTTTTCTGAAGTTTCATGTGTTAGCAATATTACAAGATTTCTGTTTTGAGTACTCACAATCAGGGGATTGGAATCCCTATAATTTGGGGGGAAGATAACTTGTAATTGGCTGTCTTCAGTTGGTCATGTACTTGCTTTTTTCTTATAAATTTGTTTAGATTAATTATTATTAATATGGCTTATTATAGGTTGTTCAGTTAACCCTATGGTTTATAATTATTCATATGTTCATCAGTAGTCTTATTAATGTTTAAATACCTAGACTTCCAGACATAATATGGTTCAATATATACCATTCGTGCAAAAATACACAAAACCACACACATAAACAAAGCTCTGCTCCAAAATTTATTTGTCACTGAAAAATTTTCCCACTTGAAAGTAGAAAAAAATGGTTAGTCTAGGTACTACAACAAAACCAAGTTTGAAAGTCTAGCACTGACTGTTGTAACAAGTTCCGTTTTTGTCGTTTCTTCCTTATAATAGTCTGTGCAAAACCGAAATCATACCTCATTTTCTCCATAATCATAATATTCAATAATTTATAATATTCAGTCACTAAGGCCTAATATAGAAGTTCTCGAAACAGTAACTGGTGATCACAAAAGCCTTCTGAGCATGAAAATTTGAATGTTCTCATTCATCTGGGAAGAGCACCAGTTTGTATGGCCAGGTGATGACAATTACCCCCTAGGTGCCATTCTCAGCCACAGATGCTCACCTGCAGTTGTCCTGTATTCCTCTGCCAGAAGAAACTTTTCTTTTCTTGTACCATGAAGGCATAATTTGTTTCTCTAATGTATAGCCCTTCATGGTGGACTTTTTCTACACTTAGCATCCGAATTAAATACTTAAGATGTAGCACTATTAAGTTGTTAAGATCTTTCTGTCATGCTTTGCATTCCATGAGTGTCTTCACAAATATATAAAAACTAGAAGCCCATTGCATGAAGATTCACACAATAGGCCTTCTTTCCCCTGGCTGCTGGCACTGGTTTTCCTCCGGCACCCTGGACCCAGGCCTTTGGTCCGGCCACAGCGAAGCTTGGCTTCAGTCTTCAGTCTTCAGACTTCAGTCTTCACTCTGTGCCTGCGTATGCAAATTAACCACCATCTTTGTTGGGTTAATTAGCATAGTTGATCTGATTGGCTGGTGGGCGTAGCAGAGTGACACCAATTTGCATGTTTCTCTTTTATTAGTGTAAATGCCCCAGCTGGTTTGGCTCTGTGGATAAAGCTTCCGCCTGTGGACTAAAGGTTCCCAGGATAGATTCTGGTCAAGGGCACATGCGTGGGTTGCAAGCTCAA